TGGGTCCTCTGATGGTGTTGCTAGAATAGATATGGGGACAGAGAAGGCAACGAGGTTTGCTACAGGGATTGGTTCCTGGGTTAGTGTTTCTGAAAGCTTATGCCCAACAGACTAACACGGCTAACTCCTGATATTTGTCTATCAGGGATGATTTCGTGTTTTCTCCCAGGTCACTGATAAAGATGTTCAATAGCAGAGGGCCAAGAACCAATCACTGAGGGACTCCACTGGGAACAGATCCGCTTGCTGACAATTCCCCACTTACAGGTACATTTCGAGATCTATCAATTAGCCAGTTTTGAATCCATTTAGTGTGTGCCGTGTTAATTTTATATTGTCTAAGTTTTTTCGTCAAAATCTTGTGTGGTACCTGTGACGAACTGGGACTGCTCTTAGAGTGGCCTGTGAGTGCTGACAGGGGAGTGTGGCTAGGATGGTCTGCATTGGGGGAGGGGAGACTGACCGACAGAGAATACCTGAGCATGTAACATGAGAACCCAGGAAGGAGTGAGAGGCCAGGTGACACCTTTGCCCAGGAAACTGAACAAAGGCTGTGGGAGGGGTCGCTGAAGGCAGAGAGTTGGAGGAGCTGGCTAGTGACCATGGCTGGGAGGGAGACAGGGCTCTGACCTCCCAGGGGGGCTAGGGTACCCGGGGACCCCAAGATGGACCTAACTGAGGGGTATCCTGTTGTCTGTGCCTGCAAGACCTGTCTTGGACTGTATTCCTGTCGTCTAAATAAACCTTCTGCTTTACTGGCTGGCTGAGAGTCATGGTGAATCGCAGGAAGCCGGGGGTGCAGGGCCCTGAGTCCCCCCACACTCCGTGACAACTGGTGGCAGCGGTGGGATCTACTGCACCCCGTGGACGGCGCTTCCTGCAGTAAGTGACTGGGGAGAAGTAAAACGAAGGGGGATTGACGGGGAGCAGGCATGCTGAAGAGTCAGAGAGAGACGGTTATCACCCCTGGGAGTGTGTGACCAGCGAGAAGGACTTTTGCAGTAACAGGGTCCCCTGGGGGATCGCAGCGAGTGGTCCCAGGGGAGGAGGAATCTGCAGCTCGACCCTGGCAGAGAGGTGGTGACCTCGAGAAGGGCTGGCACACTAGGGGTCTCCCTGGAGACTGTGGGGAACGGTGAGCACCCAGGCCTGTGAGTGGCCAGCAGGAAGATGTATGCCAAGCGGCTTAAGAGCGACCTGGTGGAGCTGTGCAAGCAGAGGGGGGTGCGCAGTGGGAGGCTCACCAAAGAACAGCTCATTGCCCAGCTGGAGAAGGGAGATCGCTCGAATGAACTGATCCCTGTCTCTGAGGGAAGCAGCCTGGCAAATGCAGCGCAGGCCCCAGTGTCTGTCCCAGCTGGGAGTGGTCAGCCGGCTGCTGAGGGCTTCCCGAGACCCCTCCTTCCTATGCCTAGGGGAAGGGTGGGGAGGAGCCCAGCAAATACCGAGGGCGCAGTGACCCCCCCGGCCAGCAGGGGATCCTCCCGGCCACGCTCGCCGGCCAGCCGGGGATCCTCCCGGCCACGTGCGGCATCCGTGGAGCGGAATGGGCTGGGATGGGAGACAGAGCTAAAACTGAGAGAGCTGAAGGATCGGGAACAACAGAGACAGCATGAACGGGAGGAGAATGAGAGACAGAGGCAGCATGAAGAGAGACAGCGTCAGCAGGAACTGGAACTGGCGAGGCTGAGGGGCCGCGAGACCCCGGCTGCGGTGAGTGAGGGGGGACCCAGGACTGCACGGAGCTTTGATAAGTGCATCCTGGCCCCACGCAAGGAGGGGGAGGACATGGATGACTTCCTGGATGCCTTTGAGACGGCCTGCGAGCTGCACCAGGTTGCTCCCGCGGACAGACTCCGGGTTCTCACCCCCTTACTGGACCCCAAAGCTGTGGCATTGTACCGCCAACTGGACGAGGCGGAGAAAGGGGACTACGAACTATTCAAAAAGGCCCTGCTACGTGAGTTTGGGCTGACTCCTGAGATGTACCGGGAAAGGTTCCGGAGTCAGGATAAAACCCCTGAGATCTCATATCTGCAACTAGCCGTCCGCATGGAGGGATACGCCAGCAAGTGGGCAGATGGGGCCCAGACGAAGGAGGACCTGGTTAAACTGCTGGTATTGGAGCAACTGTATGAGCGGTGCCCATCTGACCTGAGGCTGTGGTTGAGGGACAAAAAGCCAGAGAACCCGTGACATGCAGGCCGGCTGGCCGATGAGTTTGTAAAGAGCCGGTCAGGGGATAACAGGGAGGAGTCCCAAAGGAGCAGTCCCACCACAACGCAGAGAGAGAGTCATCATGGGACCTCCCAGCAGGAAAATACGGAAAACCCCCATCAAAGGGGAACATCCGGCATCAGGTCCATCCGACCCACTCGAGGGGACCCATGGGACATGGGCTGCTATCACTGTGACCAGAGAGGTCACATACGGGCCCAGTGCCCCAGGCTCAGGGACAGACTGAGCAGACCGAACCCACAGAGGGTTGACTGGGTAGAGACCCAGCCGGGTGAGAGGCAGCACTCCCAGGGAAGGGGGGCTGGCAGAGTACCACCTGCTAAGGAGGGAGGAGAGCTCCAGGCCAGCTCCTCTGGGGGGCTGGACGCTCCAGACTCAGAGTTTTTGGTTTATACGGTGGGCGCGGGGCGGTCCCTCCGGAGAGAGTACCTTGTTCCCCTGGAGGTGGATGGGAGGAAGGTCGATGGATACTGGGATACGGGCGCTGAGGTGACACTGGTCCGGCCCGAGGTGGTGGCCTCAGATCGGATGGTGCCCAACACCTTCCTGACTCTGACGGGGGTGGGCGGGACACCAGTCAAAGTGCCCGTGGCGAGGGTACGCCTGAAGTGGGGGCCCAAGGAGGGCCCCAAGGACGTGGGGGTACACCCGTATTTGCCCACTGAGGTGTTGATGGGGGGGGACCTGGAGGACTGGCCAAGCAACCCCCAGAATGCACTGGTTGTGACCCGCAGTCAGAGCCGGCGAGGAGCACTGCGCCCTGGCCTTGGGGAGGGTGCCTTGCCCGAGGCGCAGGACCCTAACCTGGTGGGGAGGGAACACCCAGGGACACGGCTCAGGGGGGCTGCGGCTTCAGACCCAGCCGGCGAGAGAGAGCAGGTGGCCATCCCTGTCCCAGCTGCTGAGTTCCAGGCCGAGGTGCAGAAAGATCCCTCCTTGCGGAAGATAAGGGACCTGGTCGACCTCGGTGCGGTACAGACCATGGGGAGAGGCGGCCGGAAAAGGTTCCTGTGGGAGAAGGGGTTCCTGTACCGAGAATGGGCTCCCACAGGGAAAATGGAGTCAGGGGGGATCAGGAGGCAGCTGGTGGTACCCCAGAAGTATCGCCGCCAGCTGCTGTACCGGGCCCATGACATTCCCCTCTCAGGGCACCAGGGAACCTGGCGTACCCAGCAGAGGCTGCTACGGAGCTTTTACTGGCCTGGGGTCTTTGTTACTGTCCGGCAGTACTGCCGATCCTGTGACCCCTGTCAGAGGGGGAGGAAGGCCCGGGACAAGGGGAAAACGGCTTTAGGACCCTTGCCCAGCCTAGAGGAGCCTTTCCGGAGGGTGGCCAAGGTTAAAAGGGGGGCTCTGAACCAAGAGAGCCCGAAGCACAGACCTCCAGACTGGAGCGCTGGGAGAAGACCCCAGCCCAGTGGGAACCCCAGGGGTATTGGGGTGGGAAAAGGGCACAGGCCGCATAACCCTTCCCACGTGCGAACTGCGAATGCCATCGAGCACCCCCGACCTAAGGGGGGCGTGAAACTGGAGGGGCCTGGTGTAATTCTCACCAAGGAATGGGAGGGATGCGGGGGCATCCATGGGAACGGGGGTAGGTTCGAACTTCCCCGGGTCACTGGCTGAAGTGACCCCGCTCAGTTCGGTCTCGGAGGGGGGAGAGATGTGACGAACTGGGACTGCTCTTAGAGTGGTCTGTGAATGCTGACGGGGAGTGTGGCTAGGATAGTCTGCATGGGGGGATGGGAGACTGGCCGTGAGGGAAGATACCTGAGCATGTAACATGAGAACCCAGGAAGGGGGAGAGGCCAGGTGACACCTTTGCCCAGGAAACTGAACAAAGGCGGTGGGAGGGGTCGCTGAAGGCAGAGTTGGAGAAGCTGGCTAGTGACCATGGCTGGGAGGGAGACGGGGCTCTGATCTCCCAAGGGGGCTAGGGTGCCCGGGGACCCCAAGATGGACCTAACTGGGGGAGTCCTGTTGTCTGTGCCTGCAAGACCTGTCTTGGACTGTATTCCTGTCGTCTAAATAAACCTTCTGCTTTACTGGCTGGCTGAGAGTCATGGTGAATCGCAGGAAGCCGGGGGTGCAGGGCCCTGAGCCCCCCCACACTCCGTGACAGTACCAAACACCTTACAGAAGTCTAAGTATAGTACGTCCACACTATTCCCTTTATCAACCAGACTTGTAAGCTCATCGCAAAAAGATATCGAGTTCGTTTGACAAGATCTATTTTCCACAAACCCGTGTTGATTGACATGAATTCCCATCCTTTTATTTAGGGTAATGTAATTGCCCTGTAATTGTAATGCTGGGTTCCCCAGCTCCAGCCAGTTTTCTCCCAATAGCTTGCATCAGATCTTCCTCCCAACTGTTTTGTCTGTGTCACACCCGCAACAAAGCAACCTCTGATTCTTCTGGGTCTCAGACAACACAAAGGGTTGCAAAGACCCTCAAAGAAATTCTGTTTTGTTTCGGGTGTGGGGGACAGAGGGGAAAGTTTCTTTGTTTGGGGGTTTGGGGATTGAAAAAACCACCCAGGAAAGTTTGTTTTGTCTGGGCATCATCCGTTGTGTCCAGGTCATACCCAAGACACGTTCTCCGCATCTGGCCTGGGATTGTTGGATAAACTCCCCCTGGAACTCAGGACTGGGCACTTCCAGCACCAGACGCCTTCCTTTGACATGTCTTCACATCAGATAGTCCCTACCAAAACAAGGCCGTGCAATGCACACTGGGGGGAGGGCAGGAGACCCTGCCGCATGCGCAGTCTGCGGACGGCGCCCAGACACCACGGGGCTGCGGGCCAGAGGAAGAACCGAAGGAAAATCGGACCGAACACGGGGCGATGTCTGTTTGCTTCGGGACGCAGCCGTAAAAACTCTGGGTTCTGGGTTTCAACGACAGGCCAGGGACGTTTGCAGCAGCGAATGTGGTTGGTTGGCTCCAGGCACCCACAGCCAACGCTTCCCACCCACCCATGAGCCCTTTGGTGACCGCACTCCAGGAGCTATCGGCTAGTCAAACAGGTGTGGTACGAACGCCCCTTATCGGCCGAGCTCCCTCCCTAGGGCCACAGAGGCCGGGCTGGGAAAAACGGGAGCTGGCGTGTGCAGACGCCAGGGTAAATCTGGGGTGTGTGGCGCCCACCTCCAGCATGGGTATGTACAGGCGGAAACCGATAGAAGAAGGACTTTAATTGACATCTGTATCTTCAGCGCTTCGGTCCCATTGTTTGCTCTGGGGGATAAAGCGGTTCCCTTGCTCCAGTCTCGACTCCTGCCATTGAAATTTAGGGTGATACTTAGCACCTGTCGAAACAGCTGCTTCACCCCAGAGGCAGCTGCAGCTCATGTCCGGTTTATGTCCACCCCATTACAGCCTCCGTCTCAGGGCTCATGGGGGACAGCTTCGGTCGAGATTGCTGGTCCCACCACAGCAATGAAAGTCTGGGCAGGGGCCCTCCCCCTCCCCCTCCCCGGGTGAGATTGGGGGGCTGCGGGTCGGGAGTGAGGGGCACCGGCAGAGCTGGGGGGGGCAGGGCTGGGCTAGCAGGGGCTGCGGGTCGGGAGTGAGG